TACAGCAAAAATAGGCAGCGCTGATATTCTGCAATGTTGTACATCAATGACATCATCAACAGTAAAAAGTCATGAATAAAGTGCTAATATAGTCCTTGTTACCAAGTGTCTAAAAGTCCATCCACCAACTGGTATTGATTTCTACAATACTCCAGGATTTATAAAATTCCATGGAGCGTGCACCACAATGTGTAGATCACCAAGTCTCCACACTCACTGACACTCAGTAGAATGAATGGCTTATCTAGGTATTGATAATCACCTATGCATATTACAGATCTATCTCCTTCCATAACTGGCTCCACTCAAATGGTCAAACAGATGAATCTGATGCTTTCTTCTTCCTTACACTCATCCCATGCATTCTCATCATAGTGGATGTAATGAGTTGTTCTCCAAAGTAGGCATAATCAAATAAGTTCCGCAAGAAAAGAAGGGAATAAACCAATAGCATATAACCGCTAAAAATAAAGGTCTATTTCATTTCAATTAAAATCCTACTAACAAAGCTCATGACATAAATTGCTCATCAATCAAATCCAATTACTATCCCCACTTGCCGCCAGTGTGTAGTGAAAGAGGGTCTCACCCGGTCCCCTTGCTGCTTGTGAACGGAGTGTCGCTTTTGGCAGGGGAATGAGGTCACTTCCTGTTGCCGTACAGTCCGACTCTAACACGTTTCGTCTTGTGACTTCGGAGGGTTCATTTTTCTCCTGCTCGTCTTTTGTGATTGAACTTTTAATGACTTGCTCCACCAAGGACCTCTAATATCTGCAAACTGTTACTTCTGTATGAAGTTGAAATATTGTAGGTAAGAACACAGAAAAATCAAGTATTTGAAAATACTTTGAGTTTTCTTTCTATATATAAATCTTTAAATTACCCAGGTTAGGCAGTGATCAAACCAATGAAGAATGTTGGCATGGAGCTGGTAACATTGAGTACTTCACTGGACTGAAACATGGAGGGGGGGGGGTGCCCCTTACACCATGGCGCCTGGTTACCTCTGCATTTTTTAGTTTAGGGAAAAAAAAAACCAGATAAATGTGCTTTTGATGTGCCTTTTAAACTTGCTAGTAAAAATTTCTCCAGGCAGAGTCCATTCCTTAGTACAGCCTCCTCCCACTTTGCACATCATAGCCCTTTCTTCTTTTGGGAGTATCTAATTACGTTCTGTGCTGGTCCAGCTCCTTTGTCATCTATTCACCTCCCTGCATAACCTTTATGTAACTGCTGGGGGAGAAACAAAGGGGAATACTATTCAGCAGTGGTCTGCAAACTATAGCCCTGGGGCCAGATGTGGCTCTTTGCTTGCTTTTAGCCAGACCTTGGGGTTTCATTCACCGATACCAACAATTGGGCATAATTCTTTACAAACCCACCCACTCCCCCCCCGCCCGCCCGCCTACATTGACACTTATAAAGGCACAATTCCTCCCAGTGACACCAAGGATGGGGCACAATTCCTCCAAATGACATTAACAATTGGGACCAATGATGGGGCACAATTCAATGCAGTGTTTTTTTACCCACTGACATAAAGTCCTTTTTCTACTCCCAATGTCCACAGTCCGGCCCTCTTTAAAGACCATAAACTTGCCCTTTGTTTAAAAAGTTTGGCGACCCCTGCTATAGAGTGTCACTTGAATGCCGAGATCAGATTCAAGATGGTGGTGCTTAGCAGCAGTCTCTGGCATTTTGGATATCTACATAAAGGAGGTGTTTGAAAGTAGGTAACGTGCATAAAATTCATTCAATGCCCCATGTAATCTTATAGGAAGGTGGTTGTTGAGATGAATTGTCTGGCAACAGTGTCTATTTAATTCATCTCCGTTGGTTAATGTTTGTCAGCTAGACCTTTTTATATTCTTATAATATAAAGCGGAAGCTGCTGTGGGTACGAGTATGTTATTTAGGTGTGTAAAGCTGCGAAGAGTGCTGTGCGACTACAAAACCATAGTAATATTGAGCTATCCCCCTCATTAGGCAGTCAGCTGTTTCCCAGGAATGTGTGTTGTACTTGTCTGGTATTGCCTGTCAGTTGTGACCTATCATCCCCGCCTGAGGTATGCCAGACGCAAGGGAAACAGACAGCAACAGATGCAAATCCAACATGCAAGTCTTCTTTTTTTTTTTTTTTTTCTTTTTTTCTTCTTCTTTACAGATGGGGATCAGCAGGAAATTTTTGATTGAGCTTGCGCTGCATAACTTACCTCTTCATTTTGTTTTTTTTTTTTTTTTGTTTTTTTTTTTTCCCTGTTTTTTGAATATATTTACGGGTCACCTGTCCTTAGAAATATTTGAGGGGTGTCATTTATTGGCATTCTTAAAATGCCAACTGCCTGCCTGTTTTTCACCTCCGTGTTTTCAGAGTCCCCAAATTAAAAGAAACATGCTACCGGGCAGTGAACTCATAACTTTGCTTGGGCCTCCTTCACATCTAGTGTTTTGGGATCTCAGGCAACATCGCTGCGATTCTGCCTGCGATCTCAAATCTCACTGTGATAGTGGGAAAATGCATCGCATGTGTTTGAGTGTCATTCCTTTTTTAGTGGCACCCAGGGTGGATTTGATTTAAATCAAACTTATTTAAATCACGATTTAAATCACTAGTCAGTAAGGCTTGATTTAAATCATAAAGACTAATTCTTGCTGGTATAACTTTAATATGCAAGTAGATGAAGATTTTTAGAATAACTTTTCATATTAGTTTTTTTTATCCCCAGTTTAATAGGTTAATCATTCATATTTGGACAACTTTTTTTTGTACTTCGGAGAAAAATAATCATTACCTTAATAATAACAATTTAAATAGATTTATTCAACTGAAACAATAACATTCCAGCATATGTTATTTGCTTAAACATCCATGTTTGTTAACTACTTTGGCTAAACAAAATATATATATTTTAAGAAACGTAGACTGTCAGCCCCTTCCTCCTCACACTTAGTTTCACTTTCTTCTTGTGCAGATCTATTCCACTCCAAACAATCAGAAAAATATTGTTTCTATTCTATTCACTGAACTTCTTGAAACTTAGCACTGAAGGGGTTGATTCTGTATTCATAGGTTTGTAGAAGTTAGGATTAAGGTCTTTTTCTTAACTCTGTTCATGTTATAACATTTTTGCTGTGAAGAAGAGGCATGTGATCTCCGCTGAGTCAAATTCAGTTTTGATAACTGCAAAGTAAACCAAACATCTGTGATAATATCTTGTAGGCAGAGAAACTGCCCAATAATCTTACAAAAACCTCTGGAAGAGCATGACATTGTGAATGGTTTCATGGAATTTATTTACCAAAAAAATTAAACATATACAGCCTTATTCTACATAATTAAAAAACGAATCTTTAATTTCATGATGGAATAACCTTTGGGTGGTAATATATTTTCCGCAAAAAGCATTTTATTTAAAAAAAAAAAAAAAAAAAATCCGATTTAAATAAAAAAAAATCTGATTTTTTTTTTTTTTTTTTTTTTTTTTTTAATCATTGATTTTTATCCACCCTGGTGGCACCTAAGCGCAGTGCGGTTTTGCCACGGTTGTTGAGCGATGGTTCTTTTGGACGATCATCTTTGCAGGTTTCTGCAATTTATCGTGCCAAAACTGCACCATGTTTAGACGCCATTGAAAATGAATGGCAATCAAACATGCGTGGTGTGTTTTGTCACTATTGCAGTAAGATTTGAGATTGCAGGGAGAATCACAGCGATTCTGCCTGAGATCCTAATACGCCAGATGTGAACTGGGCCTTATTGTTCTTTGAAGCAATGAACTGGCATGACGCCCAGGCAGCTAGCATTTTCGGATGGACAGTCCAGCAGCGGCAGCTTAAACTTCTAACCTCCCAGGTTCTTTGCTGGACTGAGGGCCACATCCTGAGACCCCCGCTGAGATCCCAATAACAGTTTAGGGTTCTTTAGATAATTATTCGATCTTTTCAGCACATTTTATGTAGTATTGCCTCAGTTAGGGTCCAAAGACAAATGGCATACCATCATCTGAGGTCTTGGGCATCACTTCTCTAAAGGAAAATCTGTATTGAGTGAAATCTGTAGGTCTGTAGGCTGTCTTTTCTAACCTCTTCTTCTGAAAATATCCTGACTGCAAAACTGCATCTTTTAAGGCTCCATGCACACTGGCTTAAAAAAATGCCTGTGCTCTTGGTAGAAAAAAACGCAAATTTTCAGCTTTTTTTTTTTTTTTAAAATACTAGTGTTTAGGAGCATTTAACATTTTTTTCTTTTCTGCCACAAAAACACAAAACAAAATCATTTTTTTATTTCTGCCTTTAATAAAAAAAAATGCCTGTAGACTACCTCATGTTTATGGGCACATAGGACAACATTAGATACTTCTGCAGGCAAAACGCCAAACTATTCTAGGGGCTTTTTAGGTTTTTTTTTCTTTTAAATCCAGTGTGCATGGAGCCTGAAAGCTAAAATGCGCTTTCTGGTCATCATCCTGGTCACTGGTGATTTCCCTTGCACCTTCCATTTCACAGGGCCTGCCTTCTGAACTACAGAGGTGCTGAGAGGAGGAGTTTCAGGAGGTGGAGTCAGTACAGGAGTCTCAACTTGCAGGCAGCAAGGTACCATGGGATATGTAGTCCTTAGACATTGAAAGTAAACCGCAGAGGAGAAGCTGCAAAGCATGCAGGGAATCCAGATAGTTGTGGAAAGAGACAGCCAGCAGAGAGGCAGAATGCATGTCGTGAAAGGAGATTTTTGTTAAGTAAGCTTATATTGGATTAATAAAAATAACTAATGTTTGCATTGCTATTACAATGATGTTCTTATAGTGTTACTAAACCCACAACAGTAAAATCAGTCAGTATATGCAGTAAAGCATGCTTGTTATACTCACTGTGTAACTTAAGGGGTTAATCCTTCTCATTGTGTAAAAGGGATGTTTGATCCTGTCTTCTCTGAGCCTCTCCTTCTTCCACGTTCCCCATTTCATCTCCTGATAGGACACAGCCTCAGGGGCACTCTGCACATGCTCAGTTTGGTGTGTACTGCAAGATAATTTTTTCTTTTTCTTTGAGAGGGTGCATGTGATCCGCACAGGGCCAATCGGCACTGTCCAGATAGAGGATCAAGGGTTATGCGATCTCATAGGGCAGTGAGAGAATGAAAACTTCTCCCTACAAGCCTTAGCCATTGCTCAGCTGGACACTGATAGAAGCCACAAGATTGCTCTAATTGGTGATGAGAAAAGGTATTTAGCAGTTTATATTTAATAAAATATTTGCATTTCCATGTTTGTACTGTGGGAGACCAGATATAGTAAATGCAGGGTCCTGGGTTTAGTAACACTTTAAATGCCGTGTGTACTGTGACCATAGACTTCCTTTAAATAAAATAAGTGAAAATATGGATCTTTTTTGTTGTGAACGGTTCTTTTTTTTTTTTTTAATTTAAATATTTATTAAATTTTTCATATTAATACAAAAGCCCCAAAACAGGGAAAAAAAATTCTCAATACAAAATAAACATTTATAACATTTCTATCTTTCCCTTATTAAAAAAAAAAAAAAAAACTCTTTTCTTTCCCATCCCACTATCTCCCCTTCCCGCCCCTCATCCCCCCTCTTCCCTCTGCAGACTCCAATCCATTCTGATCTAATAAGGCTTATCCATTTTATTGTTAACCTCTTAGTTTATATTTTCTTATATTTCTCCTTCAATCTTGCTCTTTCCCACTTTTCCCATCTCCTAGAATACACTCCCATCCTATCTTCATGCATATGGTATGATTTTTTCCATTCTACCTATCTGGTTCACTCTGTTAATCCAGTCTTCCTCCTTCGGTACCTCGGCTCTTCTCCAAAACTTGGGTATCAGCCCTTTCGCTGCATTCAAGAAGTACCAAATACCTGAATCTTTATGTTTATTTACAGATGTCTCTACCTTGTGTAGGAGGCACGTCGTTGGGTCTAACCCTATGTCAATTTCGGTTATTTCCTCAATCAGTTTTAACTATTATCTTCCAAAAGGCCTGGATTTTCGGACATTCCCACCATATGTGAAACACCGTGCCAATCTCTCCACATCCTCTCCAACACTTATTTGAGTTTTCCCCATTCATCTTATGTTCTACACTCGGTGTAATGTGCCATCGTGTCATACACTTATAATTAACCTCAACCTCTCTCATACTAACATTATCGTGTATCAATCTAAACATCTTTCTCTGTCTGTCTTCATCAAACTCAACTCCCATGTCCCTTTCCCATTTTGTAATAAAAGTTGACTTTGTGTTTGTGTCTAATTCTGTGAGTATTCTATACACTTTTGAAATACCGTGTTTCCCATCACCTCGTGTCCCCAACAACCTTTCAAACATATTCCACTCCTGTTTTATTCTCAGGGGTTTCGGTAGATTTCCAATAAAACATTTCAATTGATGATACTTCCACTCATCTATTCTAATAAAAATATCTCTCCTTCTTCTCTATTAAGTCTTTAAGTGATCTCAGTTCCCCTTCCACCAAGACATCACTCAGTTGGGTGTCCTCCTTTCTAAACCATCTCCCTGATATCTTATTCTTTCCCGGGGGGAAATACTCAGTATTTGTGAGAGGCATTAATATAGAATTGAATTCCCATTTCATGTTTTTGTGTAAAGTGTCCCATACCCTAAAAACATTTAATGTGTATATACTTGTGCTTTCTTTAATTCCCCTAAACTGTGTTGGGACCCATATCATCTGATTCAATCTAGTGCCACTAAGATCATTTTCAATTGTTGTGAACGGTTTCTGATCTTTTCATCCAGTCGGATCCTCTGTCTCTCTCCTGTCTTTTAAATAGCCCCGGCCTTTTGATTATTAAGCTGCAGAGCAATCATGGTCTTCATACAGCCTGACTGCATACAGCCCTATAAATGTATGTGGCAAAGGAAGACTTACTCCCTCCCAAGTTTCAGCTTTCCTTGTTTTCTGACTTTGAAGAGATGATTGCCTGCATTAGCATTAACTGGGGAAATCGCCGCATGCTATAAACACAGTCTTTGAAGTAGGTGAACGTGGCCTCTTTGAATTGTTGTGTTTTTTCTTGTGACCTTGGAAAAAGTTGCTCATCACATTATTTGATAAAGCTGTTTAAAAAGAATACTCTTCGCACAGAGTATTTGTTCTCCCTGTGGCGTTTCAACATCAGTCCTCAAAAAGCTTCATTCTGCTCTGTGTAGTCGAGCCCTTCTATCTACAGTATGTGTATTTGTCACCGTGTGCCTATAGTTAATTTATAAAGAGGCCTTCCCTTTTAAAGTACACTTAAAGTGATACTAAACACAGTGTATGATGGCTCTAATTATTAAAAAAACCCCATCTAAGTATCTTTTTCCTAATTGCTGTCACATGACCCAGGTCTTTCTCAGCCTGTCTGCAGGAAAACAGTGGAACGAGCAGCTTCTGCTGCAACCTTTTGGGATATGGAGTAAAAATAAATATCAAACTGTTTTAAATTGTCATACAAATATATATTTGAAATCAAATCTTTATTATTTTTTGGCAATAACATTGTGTGGGTGAATTTGTCAATCACAAGCTGTGTCACGCCCTTCCAGCCTGTGTCTTAGAATAACAGGGAGGCAAAGCTTCTCTCAATCAAGACACCCCCATTGTGTTTAGCTGGTTAATGGGCAGGGAGGCGGAGGGAGGGAGTGGGCTGTCATTTACTACTGTATATACACCCGCATGTATGACTCTATAGTCGGATGTGATGGGGAGGAAATGCTCAGGGTAGAAGTACACTGAAAACTGAGCATGTGCACTAGCTGCCAACACTGCTCTGCAAAATCTCCAATTGCATTGGGGACATGGACGGGAGAGGGAGATAGAGAACAGCAGGATCAACCAGAAGTACACTGAAAACTGAGCATGTGCACTAGCTGCCAACACTGCTCTGCAAAATCTCCAATTGCATTGGGGACATGGACGGGAGAGGGAGATAGAAAACAGCAGGATCAACCAGGTTTTTTTTTTTTTTTGCAGAATGCAAAAAATGAATCCCATAGTGACTGAGTACAAACAGCATGTAATACAGCATTTATTGATCATTTTTAATGATGTGGGTTTAATGACACATTAAGTTTTCATGTGCTTCTTTATGACATTAGGAGTAATGACAGGTTTCATGTATGAATATGTGTATAATTTTTAGCTATAGCTCCTCATGGTTTCCAAGAGTCTACATTAGAGTTCCTCCCTTCATCGTGCTTGCATACTGTTGTCATGCTGTCATATAATTTAATCAGGGTAATATTTTAAAAAATCACCCAGCATGCCTTTGGACATGAACAAATACACACCACAGATGAGGCATCTGCAATATTTAAAGTCGATGTTAACATATATACAATAACCAAAATGATTCCCATAGTTTTGGTTAGGAACACTAGGGTTTTTATTAAATTGACATAAAAAAATATTTTTTTGGCTGTGTTTGCTTGCTGGGTCATGTAACGTCTAACCCCTATCTGGCTCTTCTCTTTGGTGAGCAGTGAGTGAAGTCTTCCAAGATTACGAATGTCATGATGGGAAGTGAAGCCGTATGTGGCTGTCCAGACTGAGAGGTGTGGGTGCTGGAGCTCATTGTTATAATTTCGGAGCATGTGCAGTGGTTTAAACAACTTTCCTGCATAGAAAATGAGGCACAGCAGCTTCTAGGTGTCAACCACACTGGCAAGGGTGGCGACAACGCAGCACCATTTATATAGAGGTTGTATGGTGGTGTTGGCCTAGAACTAGGGCCATAAGCAGTGAGATGGCAGGATGAATCATAATTTATGAATATTGACCGAGACCAATTTAAAAGGGCATACTTAGAATGTTCAATGATACAAAATTCCCAAAACAAGAGTTTAAAGTGGTTGTAAAGGCTGAGGGCTTTTTTTTTTTAATAAACCCTAATGTCGGCTTCCCCTAATACTTACCTGAGCCTGATCTTCATCCAGCGCTGCTCTCTCTCTCTCTCTCCTCATTGGACTCGGTGAGTGAAGCGGTTGCCTTTGGCTCCTGCTGCTGTCAATCAAATCCTGTGACAGGAGGGTAGGGTCAAGCTGCATTGTCCGTTTTCAGTTGACAGGCAGCGTGTGGCTTAGGATCAAGCCTGCTTGTGTGCCACCTTAGGAAGTGGCTTCTTATGGTGGATACGGAGAAGAGGAGGAGCCCAGAGCTCCGGTGGGTGATCTGTGCAAAATCATTGTACAGAGCAGGTAAGTAATCATTTTTGTTATTTTTTAAAAAAAGAAAGAGAAATTTGAAAGTGGACCTGACCTCAAAAAGTTAAGATTTTCTATGTAATTGGGGACATCATCAAAATGTAGTGGTTATCCTCGGTGGCAAAGTAAAGAGGAATATACTGTAGGTCATTTTTTTTTATTATAGAAGAGCTATGGTATATACTGCATTTACAAATATATATTTTTGCCAAAATATTTTATCTCACGAAGAACTCGTGTAAGTTTGAAAGGGAATGAAGATCTTTCTAATATAGAAGAGTTCTGGGACATAGTGGACTATTGACAACCTGTCTACATTTCTATCCTGAAGGCTAATATTACATGTGGGCACTTAAGAGCCATCAGTTATTAAAACCCCTATCAAGAATTCCCTTCATCCTGCTCAATATGTCCTGGAAATGTCCATTGTCTCTTTCAGTCAATATCAATTTGTATGTTGTCAGCAGAGCTATGGGTTCTTCAGGGCTCAATTCCTTGACAAAAGCTTTTGCAATGAATAAAGTCTGCCTTGTTAATTGGGTTTAGTAATTGAGGGGAAAGTATTTATAGAACCAAATGCAGATAGAACAATGAGTATAGTGCCCTAACCCTTAGGGCTTTGGAGGACTATTAGCCTCTAACCGGGTTAAGTGGTAAACAATATGTGATTATTTTATTTTGTGTTCTAGAAGAATGTTATTTGTGGACATATCTAGACAACGTCATCATGTATGCAATATACAAAGAATAGCTTTCTGTATTTTTTTTTATTTTTAGAAGTAGGCCACTTTAATTTTTTATTTTTTTGCTTTTTTCTTACTAACTAGAATTCAAGTCTTTCAATTCAACTGACTTTTTTTTTTTCTTCTGAGAAATGTACTGTATTTGGCAGCTTACCTATGTATTATCAGAAAGGCA